ACCACAGTCAATCAAAAAATCCCAGTGAACATTTTGCTTGAATTAACTTTTGTCCACAAAAAGTAGACAAGTAAAAAGTTTGCAGCTGACCAACCTACTCATGCAACTGAGCACAGAAAAGCTATCAGAAAGACAAGAAAAGGCAACAGATAGTAACAAAACTTTTTTCCTTAAGTAATCACAAAGCAAGCTTCTGGAACTCTAATAGTGATAAAAAAGACAGAAAACTACAGCTGCCAGCCCAGCCAGCTGCTGGAAACACCTATGTGACAGCAGGGCTGTATGACAGCAACCATCTTCATCATCACTGGGATGACTCCACTTGTCCTTGCAGCAGTGGCAGTGGGCCACTTGTTCTGCATTTCTGTAGTTGTCCTGCAAAATACAGTGTGCTCCAGAGCTAAGAGAAAAAAATGTGAGAACACATTCACTATAGTGTTTTTCCTTGGACCAGGCTTCACAAGCTCAAAATGGTTCCTGAATTGTTAAGACTCCCTCTGTTGAACTCAAAGCCAAAAAACAGAGGAAAATATGTTGTATAATACAAAGACGATGGAACATTTGCTTTCCAGAATTGGATGTATATTGCACTGGAAGCTATTTCCAGGACCCTGTAGCACTTCAAATGTAAAGGTACTATGCCCAAAAGCCCTCTGTTCTCTGTTGCACATGTCAACCTGATCCAGTCGATACTTTGGTCTATGCAGAAGCTGTCAGCTTTCTTTACTGAACTACCCACTTCTATCTTTTCCCACTTTTACTGCAGCTCAACAAGTCCATGTTTCCTGACTTCCATATCTGCTCATTTTTCATAATCTATTTAGATGTAAAATGTTTTATGGTAGGAAGCATCTGTTTGCTGTGAAGAATAGCCAATTAAACAGGCATCCCATCACTAACAGACTTCTGATTGTTACCCACTATTAATTGGAAAGATGAAACACTTTTCTTTAATATTTTTTTTAATAGAAAATGTGTTTCTGGCTTTTATTTTGGTTTTTGTTGCTTTTGTGTTTTATTTTAAAGATCTCTAATGAGAAAAACAGCACATCTCTGCAGAATGACAGTAGAAAAGTCTTGAAAAGAAGCTTCTTTACTTTCTTCAAAAGCATGTTTATATTCTTACACCACTGGATATTATGTATATAATATTCAGCAGGTGTCAGGAAACCAAGATCAACACCTATAATCAAACTGCTTTGTGAACCCTTCCTCTTGCCTAAATGTCTTTGCATCATGTCTTGGCATCAAAAAGGCCTGATAACTGGCCTTTATAACTTTCAGTTATAATTTTCAGTTATAAAGAGGCACTATATTTCTGAGGAAGTCAGGGTTTCTTTTCAGAGTAAAGTAACTAGTAATCAGCAATAGGACAGATATCTGAATAGAAAGTGGCTAGAAGAATAGTAGCAAGAAGAAAAAGAAGAAAGGAAAATAGGAAATATAGGGTGGGGAGGAGAGAAAATATGTATTCTGGTCCAAACAACATGTTCCTGCAAATTTACACAGTCTAGCTGATTCACTAGAATTAGATTAACACAACATTGCTCATTTCCAAGTGCAAAGTCTGTGTGCAGAAAATGCTTAATGATAATACTAAGAGGAAACTTGCTGAAGCAGTTAGACACAGATGGCCAGAATAAAGTACTGAAGCACCACAGGAGTCAAGTTGTACTGGGGCTGAGATGAGATTTCCCTGTGTACTGATCTGCTCTGTAGAGGACAAAGAGTGACTGTGCCTACTCTGGGGAAAAAAGGAAACATTAGAACAGCTATGTGCAGCAGATTTAGGGATGGAGATGTGCCAGAAGTTGTTTCAAAATTTGTTTCTCTTGCCAGTAATGAGTAAGCAGATTGACCATTTTAACATATAGATAGCATTCTACATGTAGGCAAAAGAAGAATTAAAAAAAAACCTTAATCCCTGTATCAAAGACCCTGGGGGCAAGGAATGCATCCATATGCTACCAGGTACTGCAGGATTTATACTGTCAAACCTTTGGGCATTCTTTGCAAATTAACAACATGTCTCTGTCAAGATGCAAAGATTTCTTTTGCTCTCACTTGATATTAACAGGATTTAGGGATTGCTTTAAAATAATGAATATTGTGAAGGAAGGGTGGGGTTAAGCATTAAGGAAATCAAAATCATCTTCTTGGCTTTGCTACAAAAAAAAATTGGATCACATTGAGGCAAGTCATTCAGTTTTAGTAGATTGGTTCTTTACGTACTTAATACTGAGATAAGAATAATACGACCTTCTCCTTTCTGCTTTTTTGTGACTCGTATCTTTCACTCCCTTTAAGACTGCATTTTCTGCTATATTGGATTCTCCTAGAATAAAAGATCCCACATCTAAGCTGAAGACTTTAAGAATCATAATTCTAACAAGAGCCATGTTTGTAAATCTATCATTTGCTAGTAGATTAATTGTACAGCAAAAGAAATAAAGCTCCAAGTTGAACACAATTACAACACAGAGGGACTCAATTTCTATAACACCACTAATTCCAGACAGAGCTATCTGCAATATCATCAAATAATTCCCTGAATGTAGATGTTACATGTTAATCATTACAGCAGGATGGAATGAGGCATTGTAGGTAATATAAAGCAAAAATGGTTTTGGATCATACACATTCATACTAAAGATTTAAATAGTTGCCTGAAATCAAGGTAACCTGACCTAAATCTTGAATACAATGTACAATTACTGACACTTCAGAGCAGCAGGTATCACTCTTTAATGCCATTTTAGGGTATTGGATGCCATTTTTCAACTGTGACCAGCAAAATAAGGTCTGAGGCAGACAGAGAAGGAACAGTACACTTACTTCCAAATGGAGAAGCAGAGACAAGACAAAGTGTTTGAGCAGCACTTTCTAAATAGCAGACTGTTACCCCTGCCATCAGCACATTTTCCAATGTCCTCCTGAGCAAGGGAAGACAGTACATTGTCCCAAATTACTTAACACACTTTATACCAGAAGCACCTTAATTAAGCCATTTTGAAATGAGTGGCATGTCAATGTTTAACCTTTTAATTTACTAGAGAGAGAGGAACCTACTTTGGTTCCATACACGTAGACATCAATATCCAGGTGATATTTTAGAAGTTTCAAATTAGACAAACTTTCTGAAGCTTACTTCTCAGTTTTGTTGAGAAGTTATTCAGAATATTTTGAAGCATTACTGAAAAATCCCATGAAAGTCACTGCTTCACTATATTCAAAAGACTTTTCCTCCCAACACTAAATTAAAACATATATTCACATACCTATTCTGCATGCTGCAGATTAATGATATTTAATCACAGGAACTTTCATAAATTCTACAGACTTACAGATTTAAATCAGACACAGTTAAAATGAAACATGGTATTAAACCCATAATCCATACTTGATTTGATTTAGCAGAATTTTGCAACTGTCTCATTCATCATGCTCAGCTTGCTAGTGATAGACCATAGAATATGCTGGGGACAGTCATCTTTGTAATCAAGCATCCAGACACACCGTCTCAGACATTGACAATATGATCCATGCTTTTATGATCCATTATTTAGGTCTCATTCAAATCCCAGAAAAGTTCATAACCAGTCTCTTGTCAGTACTGGCATAAACTCAGCTAACTGAAGTCTCTCTGTTAGCATTAATGAAGACAAGTTCTTAACAAAAGTAACTGATAGAAAAGTAGCATTTAAGGAGATTTAAAGATGGATGTACCTATCTAAATTATAGATCTATGTAGCTCATTTTGAATTGGAAAAAGATAAATGTTCTGAGAAATTAACAGTATAAATAAATCCCAAACTAGATTTTCATTAATGAAAAAATAATAATATATGTTAACAGGTTTGTCCTTCAAGACATTACTCCATACCCACTTTCTCACAAAGTCAGTGCTCTGCTTGGCTACCAGCAGATCCTCCCATGCCCAGAGCTCTTCATCTACTCTGCAAGTACAGCTTCAACAGGCTTCATGTAAGCACTGCTTATGTCCTTTGCTTTTCATTGCTCTTTGGTTACATAAATATATGATCTCCCTGTATGAAAACAGCCTAGAAAACCTATGCCTAATATTGAGCACTTTAACAACATAAAGAATTTATGTGAATGAGTATGTAAAAGCCAGGGACAGAACAAGGCAGAAGTATATGTAATTAGCACATTTTAAAGGTGACAATAACTAAAGAATTTTGAGTAACAATACCTAAGCCAAAATGTACCAGTTTTCAGATGCAGAGGAATAACCGGATATTAACTATTATAATTAGACAAGCATATATAATCATTGATCCTGAACACATATTAATGCAAAATATATGCACATTTGTAATGATTAATACTGCAGTTTTCTTGCTCCTCAAGCAAGTGATTTTACTATACTGCAAGTCCTAAAATAGAAAAAAAAATAAAACATAATTAACTCTAAATAATCTCTACTGAAATGCCAATGTTGTCAAAACTGCAACCTTCAAATTCTTGTTATGGTGTTTATACATGAACCTTCAGTTGTGGTGGACCTCAGCAGAACCTGCTGCTTACCACAGCTGCTGAAGCACCAAGTCCCTTCCAGAACTGCTGACAGAGATAACAGATATTCTGCCTGATGCACAACCTGCAAACCAAGAGCAGCCAGTAAGAAAGCCCAGTGGCCATCTCTCTGATGCAGGAGAGGGAAGCCAGGGCTGCCGGTAGCATCCCAGACAGCAGTGTTTGGCTGTGACAGAAACTGAGCTGCACAGAAAAGTTCTTCCAACATACATACTGAAACAGGATTTATGGAGTAGGCCTGGCATCCACTGACTGCTCTGATGGAGAGCAAAGCCAGGTGCCAGAGACAGAAAGTTATGTTGCCTGGAATAACTGTTAGAAAATGCAGCAGCATTAGTCCTTCTCAATGATTCATTTAGTAATGGTGCTGGATTCTCCCTTCCATACAAACATCCTGTAACTGACTTGGAACAAAAAGTTACTATGGCACAGATTATTTTTATTATAAGGCCTTTATTCTAAGTCCAAACTATTAGGTACAGCAAATGAAAATAACTCTGGAAACTGCTGCTCAGAATTGAAAATCCATTCATTAAAAATTTCTTGTTTCCTATGTCCAAGCACTTCTCAAACATATAAACAGTTCATAGTGCTGCGATTGCAGACAATTGAATTTTAGATGTAAACTAACACAAGAACTTTTCTGGTCATGGATCACTGAATCCAGAATCATGCAATCCAATAAAGAAAATGGTATATGCCACTGAATGTGACTATACCACATAATAAAGAACACACCACTTTCTCTGCTATTCATAAAGCCTTCCTTTAAGTAGTCCAGTAGTCCAGTTTAAGTAGTCCCATGTCTCAAGATAGCATCAAGCAGCTTGTTTCATAATCTCTTAATCAGAACACTTTTTATTTCCATTTTTTCTGTGATGCAGAATCTTCTACTGAAAAAAAAAAACAGATTAGAATGATAATTTAAGTACAGATCAAGTTGGCTTCTCGTGAACCTGTTTTTGAAATTTCCTCCCTTCTGCAAAATGTACATAGCTTACTTACAGACAGGTACTCTCAGACATAGTTCAGAGGTTAAAAATATCTTGAAGACATATTCATCAATATATGGCAAATTGAACAGCTTAAGACGCACTCTGAACAGACTGAAAGAACTATGATTTAAGCATAAAAACTGAAGTTATTCTCCTACTGAAATGGTGGCATTCAAAATAGATATCTTGTAGTGAACCCCACCAACCCTGTTTAGATGTCCTTCAGTCAACTTTAAAAGACCATTTTTAGAGAAAAGAGAATTAACAAATTTAAGGACAAAAATAGGTTGAACAGAAATCAGAGCATACATCTCTCTGATGAGGTATTCTTCCCTAAGGAGGTAAAAGTGACTACTGTCTCACATTCATTATTGCTAGAAGCATCTACACAGAGTAACTGAGCGTTTTTCTAAATCATCACAGTCAACCAAAAAATAACAGACATACTGTTCTGAGCCATGGTAAATCACAAGAGTTAACATTTGAGGTAGATGCAGAGGACAGAACAAGAATTTTTTAAAGTAGTTCTACCTTTGTTTATAGTTGCATTGAGTTGGTCAATAAGATAGGATAAGATTATTATTAATAAATCACTGTTCTCTGTTGGCTGGCTCCTGACAAACTTGCATTGTTCAGCACTGCTGTTATCCAAGTTCCCATATTTTCATTATTATTTTGCCCCTCTACAATCTTTTTTTTTTTCTGGATACCCTGGGAAATGTCTGGATTTTGGATGATTAAAGTTAATGGGAGCTTTGCCATCAGCTTCACTAAATATGGGATAATAGTCTGTGCCAAATTCCATAAACCTTCTAGTAAGCCACAACACCTGTTTTCCTTCTCCTCCCATGCCCCATTTCTCTTCATTTCACATTTTTTCTCTGCTCTGACACTTATTAATCCATGCACTCTATCCAATCAATCACATTCATCTTTCTTCACCATTTATGTTGTTGTAGCTCCGTGGCTGAAATTACTAGGGCAGTGTGAACTCACTTATAAAAGTGCTACTTTTCATATTGCCAAAATAATGTCAGCATATCACAGAACACCAGTCTAAAATGGTATGCAATACCTTTTCATGCATCTTGATCTGATTTTAATTTAACTTTCAGTCCCACTTGGAAAATCACCACCCTGTACATTTATTTCTAACATGTTCTTATACCCAAGTGTTAAATCTTTGCAATTGTCCAGCGTGTGGCATTCCAGTCTCCCCTTCCTAGCAAATGTAATGAACACACTTTATTATCTCTGCCAAAATGTTTCAACATTTAAACTTTAGCAGTTCTTCCTTCTTTATGTTAAAACCCTTCCTGTAATTTTTATTTTAACTCCTCTTGAGCTTAATTAAAGACACATCTTCCAAAAACACCTATTGAGACAAGCAAACAAGTGGAACTGTCTGAGGAAAGCACAGAGCCTCAGCTTTAGAATAATAGTGACTAAGCAGAGCGGAAGCAAAGACAATCATTTGGGAATGATCACTTGGGTCAACAGTCTCAAATACGGATTAATCATGGGGGGAAGGAACCAAAAAAAAAGAGCACTTTGGGAACAGTTGGTTTCTTATTGAAGCAAGACCTACTGCCCTGTCTCTTTAGCATATTGTCTGATTTGTTAAGACCTTTCACTAGCGGTGTGAATGTAATCCACTACTTCATCTCCAAAATGTGCGACAGGCCAAGCAGCAGGTGAAGGATACCCTTTATTCAGTTCTGACTTTGACTTTATTAGAGTGATACATCATTCAAGACTCAAATAAATGTCTATCCCAAGAGACATATTGTATGGCTCGATATTTACTCTAAGTGTTCTTTGGATTTGCTGTCTACAGAAACAAAGTGCAATGCCATTATCAGAAAATGTATTTTCTTCTACTGAAGCTCTGTGAAAGCCTGGCTTCTACTCCTGGTAGAATAGTTTATATAAGATGCAGGTTTTTTACCCTCCCATATTTTTCTTGGGAAAAATGAGCAGCTACAGTACTAAGTAAGGAGCAAAACATTGTATCTTCATTCAAAATCTAGCTAAACAACACACAGAGTTCAGAGTGCAAATGCTAAGTGCCTATAGCTCACTCCCTGCTTTTATGAGAAGTTAGAACACTGCCTAAGGGAGTCAATGACAGAATATTTCATAATAGTACCATTGGAGCTGATGTTTACATCTTTATCATTAATTCCTAAATACAGAATCAATCAGCTTAATCCAATCCAACATCAGCACCAGGTTCCTGGGGTGTCTGGTAAAGTAACCTGAACTGATATGTCAAAGAAATCACACTTCAACCTTGCTGCTTCCAGTGTACCATACTTAATTTTTAATCATTATTGCTCCTTCTTTTGATAAGACTCAATATTAAAAGAATCAAAGTAGCTTTGAAATACTTGAACCAGACACCAAGGTTTAAACAGCAGTATCCATGCAAACAGAAAACCAGGTAGGGAGAGTCTTTTCAATTTCCAGGTAGATGTAAAAACTAAGTATGGAAGCATCTCCCTCAAATGCAGAAAAGAAAATTTTCTCCTGAGCAGCACAAGCACACCAGAGACAGAAAAGAGACAGTACTGCTTCCACAGCCTTCCCCATCATCACTCACTGGCTTCCAGATAGGGGCAAGGTTCACTGCAGATGCCATGATGTGACTACATGCATTATTCTGTGGGTTTGTTTTTTATTTCCTTACCTTGTTTCTATCTGCAATTCTTCTTTTTATTCCCCTCTTAGGCCTTGATTCTTTTCACTAACCAATATGCTTAAAATTGAGTAGTAGTTTAAGCTCTTGGGAAATTTAGAAGTTAGTAGTATTCAGGTTATTTTGTGGATGCCGAGAGTAGGATCATTGTTTTTTACTGTATTGTTTCATCCAAATAATTTCTTTATAGAAAAAGGTTATATTTTTTAGGTATTTTCCCCCTGTTTATAGGTTGAGGCAGAAAAGTCAGTACTCCAAATGTTAAACAACTTTCTGAGCTTTTTTTTTTTTTTCAACAATTAAAAAATATTCAGATTTAGATGTTTTTATACCATGGAATTATCTGCTTCAGGGTAGGTTTTAATCTGGGTCACCATGCTGGAAAATAGTACTTAGAATATTTCTTATCCAAGTTTCTTTCTATTTTGAAAGTTTGTTCTGTACAGCAATCCACGTCAGTCTAATTGATATTCTGCCAACCACTTAATCCACATTTGTGCACACACACACACTATAAACCTGTGAGTTTATGGCAGTGCAATTTACTTCAGTGTCAACTGAATTGGTTAAAGCTCGCTTGCACATCAATGGGATCACCCATTGTGAATTGGTTTTGTGTAGACAGGGCGTAAATCACCTGATAATCTGATGAGGATGGACTGTGTAAATAGTCCCGCAAAGAGCAAATGTGCATAGATAGGGCAATAAATTGGAATGATCGATGGGACAAGCACCATGGTAAGATCAAAGACAGGAGGCTGCAGCAAGCTTTTTAATCACCAGACCTTGCACTCCCATTAACCACTTCCTGCAAACGCTCTCTCAGCACTCTGAATTGGGGATTTTCCACTTTTTTTTTTTTTGCCTTACACCATTCAAGTTCAGTAGGATACAGCCTCGAGCAACAACAGAAACCAGCTGAAGTGCAAACAAGATCTGTCTGAAGAGGTGTTTGCTTGAGTTAAGCAGCTCGGCACTTTGCTACCTAAGGGCTTCCTCCCGAGTTTGTTTGCTACACCAGTCCTTCACTGAAGTTCTTAGCCAAAATTGTGACTTCGTTTTTTGGGGACCAGGGTACCAGGAGCTGACACTTGCCCATTCGCAAACCCTCGATGCTGTGCCACGCTTTGTTTCACAAACCAGCATGGCAGTTTTGCCAGAAGAGCTCAGCACATGCCAGAATGAGCACAGGCTGCCCCTTCTTCCCTTCATCATCTTGTCAGAGCTGTGCTTGCATTGCTGCCTCTAATCTTGAATTTGTTGTTGGTCTAAATTCCCAAGTTCTCTCTCTGTGCCTTGAAAAGCTCCTCTCCGTTTTCCCTCCTCAGATAGTACCTCCTCCACCCATTACCTGTGCTATTCCCTTCTCTCAAATATACCCTAACCTTAATCCTTCTTATACAATAATCTATTGCAAATTTAAACCCACATTTTCTTTTTTTTATTCCTTCCTGAGTTTGCAGTATCACTGCCCTATCATTCACCAGAAATGTCTTCCTAAATCCCGAGCTCCCTTCCCAGATGCCCTCCATTATTTAATCTTCTTCAGATTTTTAATTTCTCAGCAGTGGTTGGCTGCAATAGCAACTGCTTCTTTCTCCTCTAATTATTGCAATGAACAAGATATCAGAAGGCAGTTCTGAAATGAAATGAGAAATGTTTGTGTATTCAATATACTTTACCTAATTCATCCATATTGCATCACGACTTGAGCAAACTTTAATATGTTATTTTTTAATTTTTCCAACTCTATTTTTCTTTGCATTTTGATTAGCTAGCATGCTGACTGTGCCTCTTCAGAACAAGTTCAGTTTAGCTTTCTGTGCAATATAAACACAACCATTACTTAGGATGAGGGAGAGGGAATTGAGCATGCAACATAGGCAAGATGAAAGTTTATTGAAAGTAAACTTTTGTTTCTATATATCACTGTACTACATATACGATTTTTTATACTTCAGAAAGCAACCATATATTTGGTGGGCAGGAGGGTATTTTTGTTTTATTTCATCCTTTTCTCTCTTGTGTTTAAGGCATAAAGATCAAAGATTGTAATGAAATTAAAATAATCCTGAATGCCTCTTTCACTTTGAGAGCATAACCATTACCACCAGCAGCTCCACAAGGTGAGGTTTTTTTAGGAATCGTTTTGGAAAAAAGTTCAAAACACCCCATACTTCTTCACAGCCCACGTGGCATC